AAAATTTGGCAGATTTTCAGTAAACATTACAATACTTTCATACACAAAATATCAAATTTTTTTTATTAAGTCTCAAAGTTTGTAAAACAATGTTTTTCTTATGTCTTTTTTTTTCTTCTTTTCATATGTTGCCTACCTATCATGCAAAGTAATATTCATTTTAAAATTACAAATACTTTTATACATCAGAAAAGTTTGAAATTTCACATGCAAAATCTTTATAATGTTCAAATAGTTATCAAACATTTCTTAAGAAAAAACTTTATATTTTATCTGTTATTTTCAGTAGTTAATCTCTGTATGGGTTTGGTAGATTTGTCTGATCTTACAACCACCATAAAAAATTAGGAAATAAATATAAATTATGCCTCTTTCATTCTAGAATGAACACGAAAACATAAATGTTAAGACTAAATAGCTTGTAATTAAGTTACTTAGTTTTGTTTATTCTGTTGGTACTGGTATAATTTTTGTAATAAAGTTACTTAGTTTTGGTTGTACTAGTAGTTTTGTTGTAACTTTTTAGTAAAGATGCTGAGTATGGTTCCTCTGATGGTACTGTTTTAACTTTGTAATAAAGTTCAGTTTAAATGCCAAAAGCTGGTGAAGCATTAGAAACCAAAGAGCCTAAAATTTGTAATAAAATTAATGTAAATTGTAAATGATTTTTTTCCTACACTTCTCTTAATTTGCATTTTAAATTCAAAATCATTGATGGAACAATAACTTCAGTTTATCTTTTGTCTCCCACATGTAACTGCCCAAGATATCTTTTTTTTTTTCAATACCAGAACTTGTCCGTTTTTTATTTTTAATTCCAAATAAACAAGAGGAATGTGGAAAAACAATTTCACAGCTCATGTAATTTATCACAACTGTTAGGCCTATTAGTTTCTAATGCTTTACTGGCTTTCCACGTTTAAAATGTAACTTTTAAAGTATTATACAGCATATATATAAAGAGTGTTTCAAAGAATCTTTTGTCTCTCATTGTTCAACTGAATCAAATGAGCAAAATAAAGGGAATGTAGAAAAAAATATCTGTAGCTTATGTGATTTTTTATCACAAATTTTAGGCCTATTGGTTACTTACTATTGCACTCGTGCTGTAATTTTGTAATAAGGTTTCATAGTTTTTGGGTGCACTAGTGGATTTCTTTGTAACTATGATACTGTTACTTGGGTTTGGTTATACTCAGGGTATTCATTATCTTTAAAAAGAGTAAGTGGGTGACCCTATTAAAGTAGGGTAACCCTGTTGGTATGAAGTGAAGCTTATGCTGAAGGGTCAACATCCCACCCTTGGATGTTCAGGGGCATGCTCCCCTGGAAGTTTTGAAAATCAGAACTATCAGAAACATCATTTCCTGTATTTTCTGACCTCATTGTTTGAGGGGAAAAAACATGAACAGAAATAACAGCATTAAATGTAACAAAGGTTTGAATTTACATTATATATTTATAATTTTCATGACTTTGTTCCTGCTGTCACTGTGATAACTCATCTGAAGTAGGTGGAATTTATCAGTGAGTTTGAAGATGTTTTCTTCTTGAGTGTATGTTGGGATTTATTGACTTAATCAGTAACAGTACGATCATATTTCGTTACACCTGCTTTCCCGACAGTAGACACTAATTGCATACTGTGAATCATATAGTGGGAATACATAGTCATATGATATACAATATATTTTTCTCACTCATTCAAAAGCATTAGAAATGAAAATAATTTCAAAATAACTTTTATAAGGCAAATAGAGATTCAGAAATTGTTCAGTTAAAGTGAGTTTGGTGAATGATTTTTAAAAAAGCTAGTAGAAAGGAATTATTCAGTATTAAAGTAACTGGGAAGGTGAGCTATAATTAACCAAAATAGGTGGGAGCTTTACTGATGAAACCCTGGGTTGTGCTAGTATTTCCATGTATTATGGTTTCATAGTTTGGATTGCAGTAGTGATTCTGTCAGCAACCGTAATAGGATATTACTTAGTTTTGGTTGTACTGTGATTTTACTTCGTAACTATAATAGCATCACTTAATTTTAGTTGTCTAATATTTTTCTGTGACTACAATAGGAATTTGTTATTTTGGTTGTAAAAGTGCATCTTTGTCTAATGTAATATTTTTAATTGTTATTGAAGTACACAGTTCTTTGTATGAATTGTTATATGGTCTTAAAGGACAAGTAATGGAGTTCTACAGTGAGTCACCGTGGTTATATTGAGGTTTTTCTGTTGTATAGTGATCGGGAATGAATTTTTCACTTTATTATCATTACCTTCTCCTTGAAAAATAGATTAGCTCTGATGATAAGAGAAGGAAGCTGACCTACTCAGAAGTGGCCCAAAAAGCCAAAGAATCAGTGGAAAAACTGGCTACAGAAATTAAAATAAAAGAGCAACAGGAGATAGCATCAAAGCTGCAACGTCATACGGATGTTACATCTAAGCACCAGGTTACAGCCCATAGTAAGTCTTGTTCATAAGCTAGCAGTCTTCCTTCCACAGTAAGTCTTGAAAATAACCTAGCACTCTTCTGCTTACAGTAAGTCTTGATCACAGTCTAGCATTCTTCCTCTTACAGTAAGTCTTGTTCATAAGCTAGCAGTCTTCTTTCCACAGTAAGTCTTGAAAATAACCTAGCACTCTTCTGCTTACAGTAAGTCTTGATCACAGTCTAGCACTCTTCTGCTTACAGTAAGTCTTGGTCACAGTCTAGCACTCTTCTGCTTACAGTAAGTCTTGATCACAGTCTAGCACTCTTCTGCTTACAGTAAGTCTTGATCACAGTCTAGCATTCTTCCTCCTACAGTAGGTCTTGATCACAGTCTAGCATTCTTCTTCTTACAGTGGGTCTTGATCACAGTCTAGCATTCTTCTGCTTACAGTAAGTCTTGATCACAGTCTAAGCATTCTTCTTCTTACAGTAAGTCTTGATCACAGTCTAGCATTCTTCTTCTTCTTACAGTAAGTCTTGATCACAGTCTAGCATTCTTCTTCTTACAGTAAGTCTTGATCACAGTCTAGCATTCTTCTTCTTACAGT